AAAAAAAAAAAAACATAGGAAGAGACAGATATGCCAATCAATTATGATCTGATCATTACATGTTGTATATATGTATATATGTGCATACACACACACACCTTGAGATGACACTGTGCTCCACAAACATGTACAATAACGATGTTAATAAAACATTTAAAAATAATAATAAAATAAAATGTTTTTCCTGTTCTTGTTTAGGCTTTGAATAGTTAAAACTACCCATCAGATCCATGACAGGGGGTGGAGAGATGGCTCAGCCGTTAGGAACACTGGCTGCTCCTCTAGAAGTTCTGAGTTCAATTCTCAGCAACCACATGGTGGCTCACAACCATCTATAATGAGACCTTATTCCCTCTCCTGGCATGCAGCTGTACATGGAGACTGAGCACTCATATACATAAAATGCATAAACAAACAAATCTTTAAAAATTAATTTTAAAATCCATGATAGTTTGTGATGTTTAATTTTATGTCAACCTGGCAAGGCTGTAGGGTGCTCAGTTCAGACAGTACATCTATGGCTTGTCTACAAGAGTTTCTGGATAAGACTCAAACTGAGATTGCAAGACTGAGGTTGTACGATATTTGATCCCATTGTGAACCCTGAGATTGTGAACTGTAAAAACTTGTTTCTTGTTTGGTATGGTTCAGCCCTAAAACACACCTTTAATCCAAGAACTTTCTGTTTACTGTAAACAGGTGATTGTGGTGTGGCTCAGTGCTAGCACACGCCTTTAACCCTAGAGCTTTCTGTATATAGGACTTAATAAAGTTAACCATAGGTCAAGAGGTGGCGCAAGTCACCAGATGACAGGGATTAAACAAAAAGGAGGGACTTTGAGAGAAGAATATTTAAAACGACATGAAGAAGGAGGAGCTCTCTGGCTTTTTCCTCCTGGGCTGTTGGGTGAGGTAGCAGGCCTTTTCCTCCTGGGCTGTCAGCTAAGCTAGCAAGCTTTTGGCTCTTAGGGTAAAACTGGACGGTTGGGATTTTCTTTCTTTATAACAACAGACTGACTAAAGGGCACCTTGTATTCGAGAACCTCTGCTGCAGACGGCTATTACTTTACCTCTTGATCTCGGGGTTTGTTTGTTGGTTTGTTTGTTTTGTCAAGACAGGGTTTCTCTGGGTAGCCCTGGCTCTCCTAGAACTCATTCTGTAGACCAGGCTGGCCTCAAGATCAGAGATCTACCTGCCTCTGCCTCCCAAGTGCTGGGATTAAAGGTGTGTGCCACTACAGCCTGATGACTACTTCTCTCTCAGCTCTAAAGTTATTTGTGTGTGTAAGAAGCCAAAGAATTAAAAATTAGGTTTTTGGGGTACAGAGCTAAAAAAAAAAAAAAAAAAAAAAATTAAGACATTCAGCCAGCTGTAGGGAAGAACTGACCTTGATGTTTTCTGCTCATTGGAGGTACTGTTGGCAGGAAACCGGCTCGGATGGCCTTGTTCCTGGAGATAGCACAGACTGAGCTAATTGCCCCTCTCCCCTAGCAGTCTATCAGTCCAGGACAGGGCTGAAACCCAAGGCTGGCCATTTTCTTTCACTTACCCCTTGGCAAGAGAGAACAAAGAAAGCCAGAACCGTTCATGGTCCTGGCACTTTCCCAAAGCAAATAGTTTGGAAATGTAGCATCCCTTTTTTCTATATTAACCAACAGAAGCTTGCCAGGCTGAATCCCCTGCTTTGGGTGCGTTGGGAGGGGCTGCTACCCTATAAATCACCTACAATCTGGAGCTCAGGGCTCTCAGCTGGATGCCAATGCCTCAGCATCTGTGAGGGTCCCAGCCTGGGCTACAGATAAAGATACTCATGTGTTTGGCAACAGATTCGACTCCTGGTGGTCTTTTGGGGATCTCGTGAAATGGGCATAACATCTGCACACATGTATGACCTCTGGGAACAGAAGAGACTGTTGGATCCCCTAGAGCTGGACATAGAGGGGGCTATGAATCACTGTGCCTGGGTGCTGAGGACCAAATAGGTTCCCTACAGAGCAACCAGAGCTCTGAACTGCTCTGCTGTCTCCCCAGCCCCTCTCCTTCTCAATGTATTTCACTTGTCATTCTCCAGGGTCCTCACTCATCACCTTTTGCAACAGTGAGATGGTAAACTTAGCTCTGACTCAATAAACTGCTCGCATGCTCATTTTGGTAGCACATCCACTAAAACTACAATGATACGGAGAAAATTCACATGGCCCCTGTACAAGGATGATACACAAACTTGTGAATCATTCTGTATTTTTTATATGACCACCCCTCCAAGGCTCAGGGGACATCAAAGAGGAGAGGGCAGGAAATAATACAAGACCAAGGGGAGAAGTATAGCAAAAAGATGTCTTCCGGATATGGCGCAGTCATTGCACTCACAAACTCACTGCAGGAGCTGGGCCTCTCAACATTTCATCTGGATGTGAGGGGAAGTCTAGGAGGCCCTACCCCTCCCTGAGGAACTACTGAAAATAAACAGGACTAAGTCAAGTAAGTTGCTTTCTGCAGTGCTTCAATCGCAAGCATGAGAACTTAGGTGTGGAGCCCAGTGTGGTGGTGTGTCTCTGTAATCCTAGCACTGGGGAGGCAGAGATAGACAGAGCGAGGCAGATCCCTGGAGCTCACTGGCCAGGCCGCCTAACCTAGTTCCAGCTTTGGTGGGAGGCCCTGTCTCAGAAAAATAAGGTAAACCCAGGTTGAGAAAGGCACTAGGTATCAACCTCTGGCCTCCATGAATAAATTTATACACATGCATGCACACCCAATGCATATGTGTGCACATATATTTAAGATGCAGGCATATATACATACAGCGGATATCTCAGGGGAAGACAATTATAAGGAGCAAGAAACAAACAAACAAAAAAAAAACCTTTCACATTTAGTTGCTTTTTTATTAAAAATTTTTTGGAGATATTATTTATTTTTTGTTGTATGGCTGTTTTGACTGCATGTATGTCTGTGTTCCACATTGTGCAGTATTCATAAAGACCAGAAGAGGGTATCAGATCCCCCTTTGGACTGCAGTGAGCTATCATGTGGGACCTGAACCCTGTACCAGGGTCCTCTGGAAGAGCTGCTTAACGGCTCTTAATGGCTGAGGCATCTCATCAACCCTCACATGTAGTTTTTTCCTATGGTCTACACCATTTACCACCAGGGCTAGCTGCAATCCCAGGCCTCAGCCATGGCAGCTAAGCAAGCACTTTCCCAGCTCCTGACAGGCATTCTCAGGACCACAGAGGGAACTTTTTTCCAGATGCCATTGTACGTTTGAGACATTTAGGAGGAATTTCCCTGTCATCTGCTACAATTACTGCTTGTAATAGCTTTCACAGTTGTTTTTGACATCATTACCATCATTAAAAGAATGTAGTTCCTCGATGATTAATTAATTTAAGTATTAACTATAGCCAGCAGCAAGTTATTAAGTCATTAGGCAGGGAACAGTTCAGAAAGTAAATAGGCAGAGGCACAGCCCTTTCTCTTTGAGTAAACAGTCCTTCAACTGCAATGAGAATGGCCTTATTTCAGTCAATAAAAGGGGAAATGAGCCTTGGATGCCTTTAGCCACGGTACTAGAAGACAGGAATAGGCAGATCTCTCTAGTTCAACAGAGAGCCAACCTGGTCAACATGAAGAGAACTTACCTCAAAAAAAAAGAGAGAGAGAGAGAGAGAAAGGAAGGCAGGAAGGAGGAAGAGGAGAGGAAAGGAGGGGAGAGAAGTTTGAAATACAGACTATTTCTAGCTGTCACCTGAAACAGAACATTACTAAAAAATCATGGATAGTATTCCTGATTTGAGAGAGCTGCAAAGATATGGTCACTGTTTCTAATTAATTTCCCTGATGTTCCGAAGAAATCTTGTAAATGTGGCACTCTCTAGAGAGAGCAATATTAACAAAGGCAAGCAAGAAACGGCCTGGTTCATGATTCTGAAATTAATTCGCTGCAGCTGGAACGTAAAGATGGGTGGGGGGCCATGGATTAAATCAGCCAAGGGCGAATGTGAACTGGAATGAGCGATCACATCATACCACCCTATGGGATGACTAAGCCACAGGCCAACTGTTCACACCTCAGTTGCTCCTGGACACCCACTTCAGTGTCAACTTTTAAAATGTCTTTGTTGTTGTTTTGAGACAGGGTTATCTCTACATGGCCCTCACGGTCTCACTATATAGACCAGGCTGGCTTCAAATTCACAGATTTCTGCCTGCCTCTGCCTCACGAGTGTTAGGGTTAAGGATGTGAGCCACCACGTCCAGCTTTTTTTTTTTTTTTTCAAGACTGTGTAGCACTGGGTCTCCTGGGACTCACTCTGTACACCAGGCTGGCTTCGAAGTCACAGATATCCATCTTCCTCTGCCTTCCGAGTGCTGGGATTAAAGGCGTGTGCCACCACCGCCTGGCCTTTACTTTATTATTATTATTTTTTAAACAAGGTCTCAGGTATGCCAGGCTGACCTATGTAGTGAAGGATTCTTTGAACTCCCGATCCTCCTCTCTCCACCTCCCCAGTGCTGGGATTCCCTGTTTAGGTGGCTGGGAATCAAATCTGGGGCTTTAGGCAACAGAGTAGCAATGAAACAAACACACCCTCAGTCTCTGTGTCCCTTTTCACAACTGAAATGGATTCCAATACCAATTCGAAGGGACCCAAAGGCACCTGAACGAGAAGAATGAGACACAGAATGACATCCACCAGAAGTGGACATCGCCAAAAAAAAAAAAAAAGAAAAAGAAAAAAGAAAACGTTGTGTGGGGCATTCCACACATTATTAAGAAAACATTACTGTCCTTTCTACCTGCTTTGGTCTCCTACCCGTGACACTAAGCGCAGCCCAGAGAAGGCTGGTCTGTGGCCCATGTGGGCCACGCACACGACACACAGAACCTGGCTGAGTGAGCTCCGGCCCTGCTCTTTAGCACCAGGGCTACTCCAAGTCTAGTCCTCCTGGAAGGTCCCAGGGAAGGATGCTCCATCATCCCTGGCTGGACCACTCAGGATCTCCCGCATGTGCCTTTCTGCGGCCATTCGGGTCCGTGGTCGCTTGGTCCAGCAAGTGGGGGCCCCGGGGCCGCGCGCGCGCCCCCCGCCCCACCCACCCCCGCCCACCTGAGGCAGTCGTTGTCTCTGACGAGGCGCGCGCTCTCCGTGGGAGGCAGTAGCCCGTCGTCCAGGTACAGGCCCAGGAGCGCCCCGGAACTGAAGCCGAAACGCTGGCGGATGAGGCTGATGAGATCAGTGACCACTCGGCACCTGTTCAGGTCAACCAGAAGCCAGAAAACGGTGCAGTGTGGGGTGAGCGGCGGCGGATAGTCAAATTGAAGCCGTAGCCTAACCATCTCGGAGGCTGCCATCTTGCTCGCGGTCAACGGAAGCCGAGAGGTTCCACGGGGCTTCGGAGAGGCGTGCTCGGGCGGCCCGACCCCGCCCCCTTCCTCCCCCGGCAGCAGCTAGCGTGCGCCGCCTAGGGGCGCAAGCATGTCTTGCAGGCTCCCGCGGCGAGCTCCGCCTTCTCCTTTCTGGCCCAGAACTGATTTTCTAAAGGTCTGAATTTATGCACGCGGCTGTCACCGCGTCTTCTAAGATATCGACTCGTGCATGTAAAAACAAAAACCCTGTAAAAATAGTAAGCAGCATGCCTGACCCAAAACCCTCTAACCGGATTTTTAGCTTTATACCGAAAGGATCAGGAAAGCACCAAATTCCACTCGTGGTCTGTGTCCCGGCAGAATCCGAGGGGTTCGTGCTGCGAGACCTAGAGCTCTCTAAAACAAACAAACATCCTCAGGATCTCAGGGGGTCCCTATGACCAGATCAAGTGTGCTTTCCTGATCTTGAGGAAGAACAATGTCGTGAAAGTGTAGAAGGCACAGGTGGAGAATCAGAAAGCTAAATAAATATGAAGCTTTAAAAAAAGTAATTAGAATCGGGAGCTGGAGAGATGGCCCAGTGGTTAATAACACTGTCTGAGGCTGGAGAGATGACCTCTTCCAGAGGTCCTGAGTTCAAATTCCAGCAACCACACGTGGCTCACAGCCATCTGTACTGGGATCTGATGCCCTCTTCTTCACTCATACACATAAAATAAATAAATAAAATCTTAAAAAAAAAAAAAAGAGCACTGTCTGCTCATTCAGAGGTGCTAAGTTCAATTCCCAGCAACCACATGGTGGCTCGAAACGGTCCGGAATGGGGTCTGATGTCCTCTACTAACTTTCAGATGTACACACAGACAGAGCATTCATATAAATAAATAAACAAATATTAAAATCAAGGCCTGTTCTGTGAAAGCAATAAAAAACAGAAACCTTGAGCTGGGATTATAGCACAGTGGACAGCATGATTTCCTAGCATGCACGAAACTCCCCACCACAAAGGTCTAAGTTATGTTCTCTTATCCTCATTTGGAAGATTTTTTTAAAACTTAAATGTTCGGAGAAGCTAAGCAACTCCTCCACCAAAGGTCACCAGAGGAGTCAATGGTTGGGACTTGGCAGTCTGTAAGAACACTGAAAAAAAATTTTTTTTTCCTTAAGGTTCTAATTCTGTAGGTCTTCCGGATTGACTCACCATTACTCTCTTTTGATGTTGGGGTCAAAGTCAAAGAGTTGTCTCATACGTGTTAGGGAAATGCCTTGCCTCTCAACTACACTCCAGCCCTATATTACCATCACAATTATTAGTGATGCACAGCCAACATGAGCACAAACATGGGTATAAAACAGCTTATGTTAATGACACGATCATCAAACAGAGAAAGCAAAATGGACAGAGAGATTTATCTATTAAGGAAATCGATGGGCCCTTGCGTGGGGACGTTTAATCCAGACACACACGGTTGAATCTCACTAAATAAGACAAGGCTCCATCTTACTCTTTGAGTGTTTTTTTTTTTTTTTTTAATAGATGTAAAGTTCTGAGACATTGTTCATGAGTAGATAATATGGAAGGATTTACATTTTTTTGATTATCAGGAAATTTTCTTTATACTCCAGCTTAAGTGCTAAAATTAGTTAAAGGCTTAAAGTATCTTCAGGGGATACCAAGATGGCTCCGTGGTTAGGAGGACCTGCTGTCTTCCAGAAGACCCAGGTGCACTTCCCAGTATCCGTATAAACTGCTCACAACTGTCTGTAACTCCAGGTCCAGGGAATCCAATACCCTCCCACAGACAGACAGACAGACATGCAGGCCAAACCACTAATGCACATAGAATTAAAATAAATGAATACATTTTTAAAGTA